ATTATGGTGTTGGCAAAGAATATTGAATATACCATGGACTGCCAGAAGAATGAACAAATCTGTCTTGGAAGAAGTACAGCCAGAATGCTCCTTAGAAGGGAGGATGGTGAGACTTTGTCTCATGTACTTTGGACATGTTGTCAGGAGGGAACAGTCCCTAGAGAAGGACTTCATGCTTGGTAAAGTAAAGGGTCAGCAAAAAAGAGGAAGACCCTCAACGAGATGGATTGACACAGTGGCTGCAACAATGAGCTCAAACATAGCAAGGATTGTGAGGACGGCTCAGACCCAGACAGTGTTTCATTCTGTTGTACTGACTTGACAGCTCCTAACAACAGGCGAATTAACTGGGATATTCCATGAAACCATGACCCTGACTCTCCAAACTGAGGAACCAAATCCCATGAGGTGTTTGGTTGTACATAAGCAGCCTCAACAGCTACTCTCTCTCTCTTTTTTATTTTATTTTTTGGCATTGTTGTAAATATACTTATCACACAATTTTTGTAAATTCAACTTTTTACCGGTGTACAGCTTTTGAATGACATTGAATGACAGAAAGTGACAGTGTATTTTTTATATTTGCTTAAAAAAATCATGGTTAAATATAGATATTTCCAGCACATCCCCAACAGCCTTATTTATGATATGGGAGTGTAGAGAAGATATAAAAAATGAGAACGGGATTAATAAAGACAAAATATATACCAGATTTTAAATTAATAAATACAACGTGCTAAGGAATGACTAGGATGTTCGTAAATTTGTGAGTGTTTGTAATTCCTCAGGAATTAGTTACAAGAGTTCTACCTTTGGAAGAAAACTGCCTTGAAGTGGAAGGAAGATCCTGAATCAGGTGCCTTTGGAATCATCAAGTAGAATTTAAACTGCATTCGGTAGAAAAGGGAAAAGTTTCCATTGAAACCACCAAAAATGTTTTGTTTTAAGGTGGCTTAAATATGTTATGAGCCTGGGGGGCGTAAGCAGTTTTCAATCGGCTGCTAACCTAAGGGTTGTTGGTTCGAGCCCACTCACCTGCTCCATGGAAGAAAGGCCTGGTGCACTGCTTCTGTAAAGATTACAGCCAAGAAAACCCTATAGAGCAGTTCTGATCTGTAGCACTTGGGGTCACCATGAGTTGAGGGTTGACTCAACAGGAGCTAACAACAACAAAACATAATACATGAGGTAGTTTCTATTCAAATGCTCAGGAAAAGAATAGTGTTCTTTTCTGCTTTCACTCTTAGTTCTAAGTTGATTTGGTGGGCTGAGTTGAGTTGAAATTATCTGTCATGGACTCCTTAGTTGAGTTGCCTAAAACACCAGTCTAGAAGGCTCTGTGTTTTAACACTGGTAGCTATTCCCTCTGCACTGTAAGCTCCATGAGATGAGCAGCCTGTGTGTGTTATCTTGCACACCACTGAGTCATCGGCGCTTAGAACAGCGACTGGTATGTTGCAGCATTTAATATGCTTGTTAGCTGAATGTGGACAAAAGATGTGGCAGTCTGCTTCTGTAAAGATTTACATCCTTGGAAACCCTGTGGGGCAGTGCTACTCTGTCCTATAGGGTCACTATGAGCCAGAATCACCTCAATGGCAGTGTTTTGTTTTTTGCAGGAGTTGGCGGGAGTGCTAGCTGAATAAGTGTTGAGCTCAGCTGGGTGGGAAAGTGTCACAGGAGTTTCTTCACCTCAGGTGGGAGTTGTTGCTTTAAGCTAGTTGTTCTCTGCATCTGCTGCTCCTTCTGGACTCTGTGGTTTACCAGCTAGCAGGGCTTTTCTGAGTCGTCTCCAGAAGATGTGCTTCCCCAGGACACTGTCCTCCCACTCCAGGTAGGTGTTCCTGTTGAGAAGGCGGTACAGCTCCATCTGCTGCCGGAGCAGGGACTTCTCCACCTTCTGCAGGATGATGAAGATGATGCCAGCGCGACTGCTCAGAAACTGCCAGGTCTGGGCAATCTCATACTCAAAGATACACCAGCGGCTCTGGATGAAGTGCTGAGATACCACGACAATAACCTTCCGGCTTTTGTGGAAACCTTCCTGGATGATGTTGGCGGCGATGGCTACACCAGGGATAAAGTCTCTGTAGTGAAGGCAGAGCTGAAAGGGGGGTACTCCCTCTTCCAGGTTCTTTACCAGCTCATTCCTCACCCAGTCCTCATCCTGGCTAGAGTAGATAACAAAGGCATCATAGGTGCATTCATCACCACCGAACCTTTTGCATCCTGCAAGAAGCATCAGATGGAAATAGAACTTATAGACCAAAACTACTGTCAGAGATACGACGAGCACACTGAGAACTGACACACTGATGATGATCTTGTTCATCTGACAGGTGGTATTCCTAAAACTCAGCACAGGCATGCCCTGCATATCTAAAGGTGTCGCACACATCATTTGTTCAACTTCCACCAAGAGCCACCTCTGGTCCTTGACCCACTGCAGGAAACTCTGGTGCTCGCAAACACAAGCAAAGTCATTCTGGGTAAGATTTAAGAGAGTTAGGTTACTTGGAAGATGCTGTAGTTTTTGTACCTTGGGGGCCACTATATGATTGAAACTATAGTCCAGAACCTGAAGGGAGTGGAGATATTTAAAGGGAAGTATATCCAACAACAGGAGGTTGTTGTAACTCATATTTATCACCTGAAGTCTGAGGAGTGAGTCAAAAGCTCCCTGGGACACCTGTTCTACTTTGCAATGAGAGAGGTCCAAGAAAGTCAAGTTAGTCAGGTCTGTGAAGATAGCTGGAAGGAAGTTGTCCCGAAAAGAATTGCCAGCCATTTTCAAGACTTTGAGGCTGTACAAGCCATGAAAGATGCCGTGGAAGACGACTCGAGTATGGGTGTGAGAAATGTCAAGGTAAAGTAGTTTTGTGAGTGATAGGAATATTGAAAAATCATTGGCCTGTTTCAAGGTGGAACTTCGGAAATCCAGATGTTCTAGTTGTTCCAAGCCCAGGAAGTTTGAACCCATGACAATAATATTATTGAAGCTCATATCTAGATACTTCAGCCTGGTTGTCCCAAAATCAGAATGAGAACAGCAGCTTCTGAAATTCAAACCATTTCCACTGAGATCTAGAAACTCAAGGCTTGGTAGTTCAAAATCTACAACAGTCTTACTATCTCTATTGGCCGTTAAAACAAACGTTTTCAGAGAGGGGAGTGCCAATGCGGGAAATTGTTCAAATCTACAGTTAACCAATTCTAAGGATTGCCATCTGAAATCTTTAGGAAGACTTTCTAACTTGTTTAGCCACAGATCCACCAGAGAAACTGCAGAAACATTTGCCAAGCAATTAAATACACCAATATCATTCGATGAGAAGTCTTCCAAGTATGCTATCTGGAATTCTTCAATGGTCAAATTGCATAGTCCCTCCAGGGCAGATTTGTCAAACCTGTCCAAGTTCCTTTCATTTTTAAATTCTCCCAGGACCAGCTGATGGACTTCTAAACCAGCCAGAGCTTGAATACACGTTTTCATTACATTCATTTTATCAAAATTACTTCTCAAAGTCAGTTTATGAAGCCTAATTCCTTTGAAGGCTCCTGGTTGGATAAAGTCTATCATGTTCAGGGACAGGTCTAAAGAGAGACTGAGTAGAGGAATTTGATGTAGAATCTGCAAGTCTTTATGATAAATATTTTGGATCCGGTTATTGGAAAGGTCCAAGTGTTCCAGGTTGGTCAGGTTAGAAAAATATTCAGGTAATTTAAAGGAATGGATAGAATTGTGAGCTACGTTAAGCTCCTTCAAAGTTTTAAGATGTCCAATGGGGAAGTCCTCTAGGGAGGTTAGGTTTATCTCCACAGCCACCAGCTTCTGCAAACTTGATAGTCCAGCGAAGGCTCCCAAGGCTAAATGCTGAATAGGGTTTCCCGTCAATTTCAAGGTGAAGAGATGGTTTAGTCCCTGATATGCATTATCTTCAATTGTCTGAATTTCACACCTACATGGAAGAGAGATACAGATTATGCAATACTTCTGCTGAATAAAAACCCAAATTGGAATAACAATACCAGTTATCCAGTTCTTCATAGGATATGACTTGCTATACTGTTGTGTCCTGGTAAAGATATCAAGGAGGGCAAATGATGGCATGTACAAACCAGAAGTTCCCATGGATCCAATATTGTCACACTGGCCACACTGATGCACTCTTTTTTATTATACTTGGCACACATGTTTAGCAGAGAGGAAAGCCATTAGAAGAAATTCAGTTAAAGAGTAATGATTGGGGTACATGACAACTGTGTGGCTAGTATAGTATGTAATATTATTTAAGATCAAATTTATCCATTTCCTACCACAAATAATTGTGAATATACATCTGATTCATACAGATGATGGAGATAGTTGTTAGTTGTCAGGCATGATAAATGACTGATGAAGGTCAATTTCAAAGATATAAAAAATTACAAGTGTTGCAGATACCTTTAATGTTTATGAAAATTTCTGAAGATAGCTAGATATTTGAATGGTGTCCTTATCACAGGTAAATGTTAGTAATACATGATATGAGTGAGTTTTGTTGGGGAAAAATAAAACGGAAAGTGTGCTATGAAATTTTATATCAAGGAAACTGACCCAGACTAGGAGGATTAAAGCAGGCTTCTCTGAGAACACTTAAGTTGAAATATGAAAGATGAGTAAGTGTTAACAAGAAAAGAAGGCAATGTGAACAACAGATACAAAAGTCCTGAAGTAGGTGCAATCATGATACATGGAGTGCTATGGATTGAATTGTGTCCCCCAAAAGGATATGTTGAAGTCCTAAGCACTTTTATCAGTGAATGCAATGTTATTTGAAAATAGGGTCTTTGAAGATGTTGTCAATATGAGGTAATACTGGAGTAGGGTAGATCCTAATCTAATCTGAGTAGTGCCTGATAAAAGAGGATAAGAGACACAGAAAGACAGGGGAAGGATGACCTTGGGAACATGAATCTATAAACCAAGGAATGTCTGGGGCTTCCAGAAGCTGGGAGAGACAAGAAAAGGTCTTCCCCCAAAGACTTTAGAAGGAGCATGGATTGACCTACATGTTGATTTGAACTTCTAGTCTCCAGAACTACTCTCCAGAACTATGAGAAAATAAAATTCTGTTCTTATAAGCCACCCAGTTTGTGGCATTTTGTCCTGGCAGCCCTAGAAAATGAATGCAGATGGGGTGTAGAATTATAACATAATATGGAATGTTAGGATTGGAAAATATATTTAGAACAAAAACAAAAAACAGGGTCCCCTCAAGTAGATATGCCCTCCTTAATAGAGGGGGTGGTATGTTACATATCAATATATTCTTGTTTTATATCAGAGTGTACAATATATAGCTAGTGGTCAAGAAATATCTGTTGATGAGAGTTTAAGTCAATTTTCTATCCTGACTATTATGGACTAAATTGTATCCCCCCAAAAATGTGTGTCAATTTGGCTAGTAACGATTCTCAGTATTGTGTGATTGTCCACAATTTTGACACCTGATGTGATTTTCCTATGTGTTGTAAATCCTACCTCCATGATGTTAATGAAGTAGGATTAGTGGCAGTTATGTTAAAGAGACAGGACTCAATCTATAAGATTAGGTTGTGTCTTAAGTCAATCTCTTTTGAGATATAAAAGAGAGGCAAGCAGAAAGACACAGGGACCTCATACCACCAAGAAACAAGAGCCAAGAGAATAACGTGTCATTTGGACCCTAGGTCCCTGCACTGAGAAGCTCCTTGACCAGGGAAGATTCATGACAAAGACCTTCCCCCAGAGCCAACAGAGAGAGAAGGCCTTCCTCTGGAACTGGCACCCTGAATTCACACTTTTAGCTTCCTAGTCTGTGAGAGAATAAATTTCTCTTTGTTAAAGCCATCCACTTGTGGTATTTCTGTTATAGCAGCACTAGATAACTAAGAATTTGGTACTGAGAGAGTAGGGTGTTGCTCTAACAAATACCTAAAATGTGGAAGTGGTTTTGAAACTGAATGGGTAGTGGCTGGAAGTGTCTTAAAGTGCCTAACAGTAAAAGCCTAGATTGCCCTGAGGAGACTGTTGGTAGAATTATGGACATCAAAGACAGTTTTGGTGAAGACACAGAAGGAAGTGAGGAGAACTGTTACAATGGAGATGGCGCAGATGGTGAGAAGCAGGAGCAGAGAAATGGCAGCAGCAGAGAAACGGCAGCAGCAGAACCAGCAGATCAGCATGAGACAGCACTGGAGCCAACCCACCGAGCAAGAAGGCTGAGTGCCTTTGTGCAGGAGGCTCCCTGGCAGAGTGGGGTGCCCCCGATCACTTATCTGTAGAGATAAAGAGATTTGGAACACCTGCCCAAGCAGGGAAGACATGGGTGGTGAGGACCAAAGGGCCAAGAGGCCAAAGAACCAGGAAGCAGAAGCTGAAGGGACAAGGAACACAGAAAGCAGAGCTGCCCCAGTCTCAAAGGGTAGGACCACAACCTCTGGGGTCTCAAAGGATGGAGTCGCCACTCAGATGGACTAGGAGAATTGGGGCACCCAAATATGAAGGAGCAGTGTTGCCGTTCCAGTGGGCCAGGAAGGCAGAACTGAAGGCCAGGGCTGATACCTAAGAGTCTGGAGGGCAGAGCCATTGTGTAAATGGTCTCAGAGAACAGATGATTATTTTCAAGCCTTGAGGGCTAATGTAATGTGTTCTGCTGACTTGCTTGGTGCCTGTTACCCCTTCTTTCCCTCCAATTTCTCCCATTTGTAATGGAAATGTCTAGCTTGTGCCCATTCCACTATTGTACTTTGGAAGCAGATAATTTGTATTCTAGATTTCATAAGTGAAGAGGAATTTTTGGATTTTGAATTTGGAGTTGATCTAAGACTTTTGGTATGATATGATGGATGAGTGTGTTTTACATGTGGCAATGACATGAATTTTGGGGGCCAAAGGGTGGAATGTTATGGATTGAATTATGTCCCCCCAAAAATGTGTGTTAACCTGGCTAGTCTATGATTCCCAATATTGTATGATTGTCCACCATTTTGTCACCTGATGTGATTTTCCTATGTGTTATAAATCCTACCTCTATGATGTTAATGAAGTTGGATTAGCAGCAGTTATGTTAATGAGGCAGGACTCAATCTACAAGATTAGGTTGTGTCTTAAGTCAATCTCTTTTGGAATATAAAAGAGAGAAATGAGCAGAGAGACATGGGGACCTCATACCACCGAGAAACAAGAGCCAAGAGAATAGTGTGTGCTTTGGACCTGGGGGTCCCTGTGCTGAGAAGCTCCTCGACTGGGGAATACTGATGACAAGGACCTTCCCTAGAGCTGACAGAGAGAGAAAGTCTTCCCCTGAAGCTGGTACAATGAATTCAGACTTCTAGCTTCCTAGACTGTGAGAGAATAAATTTATCTTTGTTAAAGCCATCCACTTGTGGTATTTCTGTTATAGCAGCACTAGATAACTAAGACACTGACTTAAAAAAAAATCCAAAGGTAGAATTGTCCTTAGAAACCATCTCACTAAGCTGCCTATTTCATAGATGAAGAAATTGAGACCTGGAGAAGGGAGGTGGCTTGCCTAAGATTATATAAAACTCAGAACCAAACCTGTGGCCATCGAGTTGATTCTAACTCATAGCAACCCTATAGGACAGAGTAGAACTGCCCCGTAGGGTTTGCAAGGAGTGGCTGGTAGATTTGAACTGCCGACATTTTGGTTAGCAGCCATAGCTCACTGTAGCTCATAGCAAGTAGTAAATATGTTAAATAAATGAATGGTGATTGAGACTCTACCAACCAGGCTTTCTGGCCCAAAAATGATGTGATAGGACAATGAACATCTCACCTCAGGAATTGTGTAAAAGCTCATTCATTACCTGGATAAATCCAGCACACGCAGTTCTGGAAAGTTGGAGAAGCTATGGCTGCCTAAATGCCTCAGGGGATTAAAGCTCAGGTCCAGATTCTTGGCTGATGAGGGGATGTTGTCGGGTATTTTGTAGAGATTCACCTCCATGCATTGGTAAGAAATGTTAGGAACCACCTGCAAAGATCACACATTAGATGCAGTGTCTTGCTGCATGTATTCGTAAGGACCAGCATTCCAACTCTCCTCCTCCTAGAATAGTGTCTAGAGTGTCTCTAGTATGAGCACAGGGGCCAGTCAACCTTCTTTCATCCCCATTCATTTATACACACTCACTTCATACCTGTTAAACATCCTACTCTAGATTACGAAGAAAAGAGCAACTACTATATACTCATGTTCTAATCTCTACTCTAACTATGGCAACATTTAACAAGAGGAAATGGAGTCAAGTGATGAAGGGCTGAGGCTTTGGAGGCTGAAAGCTCTGAGTTTCATCCTAGCTCTTCCTTGCAATTTGGGGCAAGAGGTTTTTTCTTTGTTTTTAATTTTCTGTAAACTTCAGATTTCCATGAGCTCACAGTCCAGAATAATAGTTAAGATAGAAACACAACTAACACTATCTGAAAGAGTCATAAAAAAGGTTTGGGAAATATGTTCCAGAAAGGTCAGGATCTGGATGCAGAAGTCTTAGAAGGCTTCCTAGAGGGAGGAGATTTTAAGGTGGGTCTTGAATGAGGGTAAGATCTGGATACACAGAAAGAGGAAGACGGATATTTCATAAAAAGAGAACAACATGAGCATGGAAGGGGTAGAAAAATAATTCAGATTTTCTGGCAAGTGACATGAGTAGTGGAGCCTAAACCAGATGGGTAGCCAGAGCCAGATCAGGAGGCACCTCACATACAATTGAGCCACCACTACGTGCCAGGCACTAGGAATATGGTGATAAATAAAACCAGCAATGGCCCTTACCTCTTACATATTCTATTCCCGAGGGGAACTCAGACAATGAAAAAATAAAAATAAATAATGAAGTGCTATGGAAAAAAATAAAGCAGCATAAGAAGACTAAAGACAAATATAGGGGGCTGGGAAGTTCTATTACATGGGGCAATGAGGAAGACTTTCCTGAGGAGGTGATGTTTAAACAGAGATCTGAATGAAGTGAAGGATGAATTAAGCCATGAAAATATCTAGGCCTACTTAGTCCAACACAGTAGGAAGTAGCTACACGTGGCTATTGGGCACCAGAGATGTGGATTATTTAAACTAACTTGTTCTGTAAATGTAAACTATATACTAGATTTTAAAGATTTAATACCAAAAAAATGTTGTAAAACATCTCATTAATAATTTTTAATACGCATTACCTTTTGAAATTTTTTGAATAATTGGGTTAAGTAAAAATATTGTCAAGATTAATCTCACCAGGGACGGAGCAGAGATGGCGTACTTGTCAAACACACCAAGCCATCCCTCTGCAACAAAGACCCAAAAAAACAAGTGAAACAGATACAGACATCAATCCTGGAACCCTGAACTTTAAATGAAAGGATGAAGTATTAAATCAGAAGCCACTGAGAAGAAGAAATTGATCGAAAACAGCAAACAAGTAAAGATACGGAGTGAAGGTTCTTTGCAGACTGGCATGACGCAGCACAACCATCTTGACATAAAGCCAAAAACCGCACACCAAGAGTACATAAAGGCATCTTCATGGAACTTCCAACAGAAGATAGAGGAGTGGTGCGGACACACACAGAGCAAAGCAAGGTCCTGTTTGTCAGCTGCAGCTCAAGGAACTGCCCTTACACTCTCACGCAGTAACCAGAGGAGCATGCTCTGACAACCCCCACCCTTCTGGTGAGTGGTGTCAAGAACCACCCCACCCAAGCAGCCCAGACTGCTGGGGACCATAGTACAAACCCCACACCTTCTAGATTCGTTCACCCCCTCTTCACCCCTCCTCCCACCTCCCTCTTCCTATCAGCCACACCTCACTACACTGCAGCTGAATGACCCAGATCTGCATACTTCCCTCCCTGCTAACCAGTCTGGCTGCATCACAGTGGAATGACCCAGACCCATGCCCTTTCCCTCTACTCTGACTCTGAGCCACGGCACTGTAGTCAGGCAACTCGGCCCTGTGCTCATGCCCCTAACTGCCTGCCGGCTCCACCCCACTGCCCCACAGCTGAACACCCCAGCCTGTGTGCCTTCCTCCCTGCCACCTCCATTCCACTGCACTGCAGCCAAAAGACGCAGGCCTATGCTGACCTCCCCTCCCTCCCAGCCAGCTGTGCCCTGTTATCCCACACTGAGCATCTTGGCTCATGCCCATCCCTCTCCACTAGCCCTACCTCACTGCCCTACAATTGAGCAACCTGGCCTCATGCCCCCTCCCACTCCACCATCTCTGCCTCACTGCACTGCAGCTGAGAGACCCAACCCCATGCCTCTCCCTCCCCCACTGGCTCTAGCGCACTGCACCACAGCCAAGCAACAGTCCCGTGCCCCTCTCCCCTGCCAGCTCCACCCCACTGTGCTGCAGATGGATGACCAGGCTCCTTGCCGCTCTCTCCCCTACAGTCTGATCCTATTGTGCCACAGCCTAGCAACCCAGCCACATATCCCTGCCTTCCCACTGGCCCTGTACAGATGCCCAGAAGCTGAGCATCCTGGCTCCATGCCCTCCCTACTCACCAGCCTCACCCTGCTGCATCACAGCCAAGCAACCTGCCTTGCCCATCCAGACAAAGTGGTGAGAGCTATCATGCCCACAGACAAGAAAGCAACAAAGCACGCCTGGCCCACCCAACCAGACATATCAAAAAAAAAAAAGCAGGACAAAGCAAACACACAATACATAAGGAAAATAATATCTGAATGTCTCAGAGACAGCAGACAATATCAAAACATATAAAAAAGCAGGACAAGATTGCTCCAACAGGTGACCAAAATAATCAGATGACCTTCTGGTAGAAAAGGCAGTGGAACTACTTGATATGGAATTCAAAAGATTAATATTTATGGCTCTCTAAGAGATTAGGAAAGAGATTAAGGAAAACACAGACAAAACAAGGAAAAAATAGACAAAATCATGGAAAACACAGACAAAACCAATGAAAATATAGCCAAAATCCAAGAAAACGCAGACAAAGCAATAGAAGAATTCAGGAAAATAACAAAAGAATAAGATGTAAAAATAAACAAACAATTAGAAATCATACAAAAACCGCAACTAGAAATCCAAAAGATAAAAAACAAAATTTCAGAAATGGAAAACTCAATAGAAGGTTTTACAAGCAAATATGAAACAACGTAAGACAGAATCAGCAAGATTGAAGACAGATCCATGGACACCACACTGTTTGAGGAAAAATCCGAGAAAAGAATGAAGAAACCCTAATAATTATGTGGGACATAATCAAGAGCAAAAATTTTCATGTGATCAGAGTTTCAGAACAGGGGGAGAAAATGGAAAACACAGAGAAGATTGCTGACGATTTGCTGGTAGAAAACGTCCCTAATATCATGAAAGATGAAAAGATGACCATTCAAGAAACTCAATAAACTCCATACAGGATAGACCCCAAAAGAAAGTCACCAAGACATATCATAATGACATTTGCCAAAATCTAAAGACAAAGAAAGAATCCTGAGAGCAGCTCGAAAAAAAAGAAAAGTCACTTACAAAGGGGAAACAATAAGACAAAGGTTTGATTACTCAGCAAAAACCATGCAGGCAAGAAGGCAATGGGATGACATATAAAACCTTGAAAGGAAAAAAAACTGCCAACCAAGAATGATATATCCTACAAAACTCTCAAATATGATGGCAAAATTAGGACATTTCCAGATAAACAGAAATTAAGGGAATATGTAAAAACCAAACCAAACTTACTGAAACAATTAAAGGGAGTCCTTTGGTTAGAGAACCAACAACATCAGACAACTTGAGGCTGGGACAAAGGACAGCATCAGCCAGATACCAGCCTAGGTAAAGAACTCTCAATAATACAACAAAACTAAAAGATTTAAAACAGGAAACCAGAGATGTTAATCTGTAAATGATGACATCAAAACAATAAAAGGGGGAATAAATGGTGTAGGTATAGAATTTTGTAATGAAGAGTAAATCAAGGCAATATCAAGTAATAAATGACTTGTTTAAACTTAGGAAGATAAGTGCAAATTTCAGCATAACCACGAAGATAGTTAACAAACCTATTCATCAAAATAAAAAAGAAGAGAAACGTAAAGACTCAGTAAACACAAAATCTATAATAATTAAAGAAATGAAAAGAAATTCCACAAACGAACTCAGCAGAGGAAAGTAAGAGGAACAAAGAAAACATCAGCACCACAAAAAAATAAAAATAAAAAATCACAACAAAATGACAGCAATAAACTCACAGCTATTGATAATCACATTGAATGTAAAAGGCCTAAATGTATCCATAAAGAGACAGAGCATGAAAGAATGCATAAAAAACATGACCCATCAATATGCTGTCTACAAGAGACATGCTTTACACACTAAGACATAAAATATTAAAAATCAAAAGATGGAAAAAATATATCAAGCAAACAGCAACCAAAAAAGAGTAGGAGTAGCAATGCTAATCTCAGTTAAAACAGACTTTAAGGCAAAATCCACCATAAAAGCCAAGGAAGGATATTATACAATGATTAAAGAGACAATCCATCAAGACAACATAACCTTAATAAATGTCTACATAACCAATGGCAGGGCTCCAAAATACATAAATCAAATTCTAACGGCATGGGAAAGAGAAATAGACAGTTACACAATAATAGCAGGAGACTTCAACATACCACTGTCAGTGAAGGATAGAACATACAGAAAAAACAGAGATACAGAAGATCTAAAGCCACAATCTGTCAACTTGACTTCAGAGACATATATGGAACACTCCATGCAACAGCAGCAAAGTATACATTATTTTCTAATGCACATGGAACATTCTCCAGAATAGATCATATTTTAGGCCACAAAGCAACCCTCAATAAAATCCAAAACATAGAAATAATACAAAGCATCTTCTCTGATCACAAGGCCATGAAAGTAGAAATAAAATAACAGGAAGAACAAGGGAAAAATAAAAACTTGGAAACTGAATAAACCTTCCTTAAAAACCACTGAGTAATAG